ACCATGTTGATTTTATCACAGAAGCTTTGTAGTATAATTTCAAGTCAGGAATTGTAATTCCTCCTGCCTTGTCTTTGCTGGCCAGGATTGCCATTGCTATTGTAGGTCTTTTCTGGTTCCAAATAAATTTCAGGAACAATTTGTCTAGGTCTGAGAGGTATGTTGGTGGCAGTTTGGTAGGGATTGCATTAAATCTGTACAACAAGTTTGGGAGTATGGCCATCTTCATGATGTTGGTTCTTCCTATCCAGGAGCAGGGAATATCTTTACATTTTCTGAAATCCTCTATGATCTCTTTTTTCAGAGTACTGTAATTTTCCATGAAAAGATCTTTGACTTTTTTGTTTAAGTAAATTCCAAAGTATTTCATTTTCTTCAGTGCTATTGTAAAAGCTATTATTTCTCTAATTTCCCTCTCAGTGTGTTTGTTATCTGTGTAAAGGAATGCTATTGAATTTTGAGTATTGACTTTGTATCTTGCTATTCCACTGAATTTGTGTATAAATCTAACCGCTTCGTTGTGGAGTTGTTTGGGTCTTCCAAGTAAAGTATCATGACATCTGCAAATAATGATAATTTAACTTTGTCTTTACCTATTCTTATTCCTTTTATTTCTCCCTCTTGCCTAATGGCTGTAGCTAATGATTCCAAAACTATATTGAACAGGAGGTGTAATAGAGGACATCATTGTCTTGTGCCAGATCTGAGAGTAAAAGATTTCAGTTTTTCCCCATTTAGAATTATATTTGCCAATGGGTTGTCATAGATGGCTTTTATCAAATTGAAGTAGAGGCCTTCTATTCCAATTTTCTGTAGGCCTTTGAACATGAATGAGTGTTGCACTTTATCAAAAGCCTTTTCTGGATCAATTGAGATAATCATATGGTTTTCACATTTTGCTCTATTAATATAGTGAATTACATTTATAGATTTTTGAATATTGAACCATCCTTGCATCCCTGGGATGAAACCTACCTAGTCATAGTGTATGATCTTCTTGATGATTTTTTGTACTCTATTTGCTGGAATTTTATTGAGGATTTTTGCAGCTATGTTCATAAGAGAGACTGGCCTGCAGTTCTCTTTTTTTAGTTGTGTCTTTCTCTGGTTTTGGAATCTGTATAATACTTGCCTTCACGAATGATATTGGGAGGACTGTTTCCTTTTCAATTTCATTGAAGAGTTTGAGGAGTGTAGGTTATTATATTTTCTGTAAATTTCAGCTGTGAATCCATCAGAACATGGACTTTTCTTTGTTGGCAGGCTTTTTATTACATTTCATCTTTCTTTGGCTATTATTGGGTTATTGAGATTTTTTTTATTTTCTTCATTCATTTTTGGTAATTTGTACCTTTCTAGGAATCTGTCCATTTCATCTGTGTCTTCTATTCTGTGAGCATAAAGATTCTCAAAGTAGCTATTGGTGATCTCCTGAATTTCCACTGGGTCTGTGGTAATTACACCCTTTTCATTCCTTATCACTTGTATTTGAATTTTTTCTTGCCTCTTTTTGATGAGGTTAGCTAGGGGCTCATTGATTTTATTTAATCTTTCAAAGAACCAGCTTTTTTATTTAAATCTTCTAACTGTTTTCTTCATCTCAACTGAATTAATTTCTGCTCTAATATTTATGGTTTCTTCTCATCTTTGGGCTCTGGGTTTGGTTTGCTCTTCCTTTTCTAGATGTCAGAGAGGCAGCATTAGGCTGTTTATTTGTTCCCTGCTTTCCTAATGTGTGAGTTCACAGCTATGAATTTCACTCTGAGAATTGCTTTCATCACATCCCATAAATTCAGATAGGTTGTGCTTGAATTTTCATTGAATTGTAGATATTGTTGAATTTCTTGTTTAATTTTATCTGTGACTCATTGGTTGCTGAGTAGGGTGTTGTTTAATTTCCATATATTTAGGATTTTTTCTGGTTTCTTTAGTCATTTATTTCCAGTTTCACTGCACTGTGGTCAGATAATATGCATGGGTTAATTTCTGGTTTTTTTGCATATACTTAAGCATGACCTATGGACTAGTATGTGGTATATTTTAGTAAATGACCCATGTGCAGCTGAAAAAAAAGTGTATTCAGCTGTAGTTAGTTGGAGCAGTCTGTATATGTCCACCAAGTCCATTTTTCCCAAGCTCTGTTTCAGTTCTGCTACTTCTTTGCTAATTTTTTGACTGGTTGACCTATCTTTTTGAAAAATATGGAATGCTTCATGAATTTGTGCATCATCCTTACACAAGGGCCATGCTAATCTTGTCTGTGTTATTCCAATTTTAGTGTATGTTTTACCAAAGTGATCACTCTGAAAAAAAAAAAGATATGTCAAATAAAATTATTCTCAATCTAGTCAGTATTTCTTTTAAAATATTTCACTTTTTTATTCATTTGGTACAGATTCTTGCTACTGAGCTCAGACCCACAGTGATCCTTCTGTCTTAGCCTCCCCACCACTGGGATTATAGGTCTGCACTACCATACCTGGTTCTTTATCAACTACTGTCTATGATCTTCACATCAATAAATAAATAAATAAATAAATAAATAAATAAATAAATAGGAGTTTTAAACATAGAATTCTGGTTTAGTAGCCTTGAGTGTAGGCCAGAAAGGACAATGAAAATTTATCTTTTAGTCTTATTTGAAAATATTCCAAAGGAAAAATCTAGATAGCTTTTTCACCATTTTCAAACCATCCCTTTTCTTGAAAAAAAAAATAATGGCATGCAGTTCTCTGTAAATAAATTATAAATTCTTCTTAGAACTATGTTCTGAAGCCAAAGAAAATCATGTTTTCCAATACAGAAAATCTTATGTTAGGGTTTATTCATCACGTAATCAAAGCTTCTTTTACATTTTTTTCTAAAGGATTACTGCTAGCAAGAAGTGTGCTAAGAGAAGGCAGTAATGCTACTAGGCTTGGAAATCTAACTTTGAGTTTCCTAAATGTCTTTTGTTCTAGACTGTTAGATTTTATTTTAGTTTTATTCACTTGAGAGTTACGTTCATGTGAAAGTAGTCCAGATGAGAAACAGGGCAGAAGGCCATTTTGTACCTTATCAAATGTAGTGGAGCAGAATATCTGAGGTCTCTAGCTGTATTAGGTACATTTTTCCATTTTCCCATTTCACTGTTTGCATTCTGTCCAATAATCAGAAATTCATAGAGATAGAGACAGAGACAGAGACAGAGACAGAGACAGAGACAGAGAAAGACTGCTTATCTTAAGCCTGGAACCGGTTGGCTGTGTGGGAAGATATAGGGAGGAGTTGGACACAGATCTTGACACACAGTAAGAGAAAATCATTAGTGCTAACATTCCACAGAACTGTGTGTGGGTAGAATTCACAGTAACTTAATATGAGGTTTATAATTAGAGGAGTTACTTAGAAAGACTCCAGGAAAAAAGTAATAATGAAAATATAGAAATACTAGGTATCATGAATTGATCACGACATATTTTATATGTATTGAAATTTCATACAGTACTCCACACATATGTGAATTTATTGCATGTTAAATGAATAATTAAAATAAATATTTAAAGAGATAGAAAAGTTAATTACTCTGGTTCATTATTGCATACATATATGCACATACACATAGTATCTATCTCTATATGTCACAGTGATTCTTAAATTTGTATATTTAAAACAGAAACTAAGAAAACAGGTTGAAAGGGTTAGTTATCTCTGCTGTTGACAACATGTGTGAGCTTGGTTCTTATTGTAGTTGATATTTAGATGTCCTCTCCAAGCCCTACTCCGCTCCACATGGGGCTTATAGTAAGGGCTTGGATCATGGGAATATGATAAAATTATCAGTGGATGATGACTTATAGCTGAATGTGACTTGGGAGGTGATGCCTTGTAGGATGTGTATCACTGTGCATGAGCTGAGAGGACTTTTCTCCCTACTTCCTCGCTTGATATCTTTCTCCCTTTGCCCACCTCTGCTTCCGGCCCAGTTCCATTAACAGTTTCCCCTCTACCATGCCATCCTATGCCTTTAGTTCTGCCAAGTGTGGACTAAAACATTGACATACTGTGAACTAAAAGGAACTTTTCCTTTTCTAAGTATACCTTGGAAATTGAGATTTGTGTCCCAAGGATGAGAAAGTAACTAAGACAGATTTTGGTGCCAGCATGGGGTCATTCCTGTGACTGTACATGGACCAAGTCATTCAGAAGTCATCAAAGTTGATTTGTGGGAGCATTTTAGAAAGATTTGGAGGTTCAGGCATAGAATAAGTCAAGCCTTATGGATGATTTTGGTCAGAGTTCAGAAGACCAAAATTTTGAAAGTTACCCAGCTGGTGAGGATCAGTGTCAAGAGGTCTCATTTGGGAAAAACTAATCCATTCTGAGTGAACTTAAGACTATGAATATAGTTCTGGCAGAAAATTTGTCTGCATTTAACCCATTTCCTGAGATGCTTCAGGTGACTAAGATTAATAGAAGTAAATTGGTCAACTTTGCACAGGAAATCTCACAGCAGCCCAGTGTTCAGGCAGTAACATTGATGCTCGTCAGGGCTTTTAGCCAGATCTACCCTGGGAACCAAGAGCAAAAATCATAGCTGAATGATTTAAAAGTTTTCAATTTGTCCAGAAAGGCAATGCTGATAAAGTTGGGGCTTGCAAATTGGTACAGAAGAGACCCTGTTTAAATATTAACATTTAACAGAAGGCAAGCACTGTGTAATAAGGGCAATGAAAAAAATGGCCAAAGGTCTTGTATATTGCATCAAGGCTTCACCTTAAAAGGCTCAAAAGTGCAAAAATAAAAGTATTTGCATGGAGAAGAGATCCTTGGGGCATGACATTGGAGAAGGGCTGCAGAAGGTGATTCCACAGGATTCTCATGCCTCACCATCCAGGAGCTCTGAGGACTCTGTACTCACCAAGAACATGCAAAGTACTCAGCTATTCCTACAGCAAGTTGTGGGGTCAGGAGGGTTTCCATCTAAGTTTCAGAAGTCCCGGGAGGCCAGGCAGTGTGTCCCTGAAAGGACAGTTTTTGATGCTGCGAGAGTGAAGTCATAAGTACAGTAGAGACTCCAAGATGTCTGATAAGCTATAGTCTTGGAATATCTTAGGAAAGCTGCAAGGAGTCAGAAAAACCAGCCCAAGGGAGTGGCAATGGGGGTGACAGCCATGGACTGTGCTATGGGGAAGAGCCCCCCAAGCCAGTTAGTATTCAACTTTACACACCATTTCCTCAGCATTCTGGATATGTCACAGATTTAATACTCGCCTGCTGGATTTTGATCTTACTTTGGCCCCATTCTTTTATGTGCCCCTATATCTCACTGTTGGAAAGAAATATTTGCCCTGTGTCTTTTCAGTTGGAAGTGTTTTTTTTTATTTTTTATTTTTTTAGAAGGCTCACAAATAAGAGTTGCCTTAAATCTTCGAGGAGACAGTGGGCTTGAGCTTTTCAGCTATGTTGGAACTCTCAAGACTTGGCGACTTTTAGACATGGATTCTGTATAAAGAAATGTATATGCATCATTTGAAGGCTACAGATACAATGTTATGGTTCATATCTACATGTCACCCCAAAGCCACAGTGGGCAGATGGTCAGAGCTTGGGCTAGGTGATTGGATCTTTAGGGGTGATACTTGTAAGTATATGAGTTCACTGATGAGCTAATAGTTCAATGTGATTTTGAGTTAATCTTTGGTCTGTGAATGTGGATTACTACTGACCTGCCATAGAAGAATACAGATCTGTTTGTCCTCTTCTGAGCTCCCTGTGTGCTTGCTGCTATCATGCATGAGCTGTTTCTCCTCAGCCATGTGCCTCTGCGTTGGCTTCCCTGATTTGTGGCCTGTCATCTACTGAGTGAAACATCTACAAACTGTGAGGCAGAATAAAACCTGCCCCTTAAATTGTAGTTGTTGGGTATCATGTTCCACTGACAGGAAAGTAGCTGAGACAGTTATGGAACATGGCTTGCCTTATTTTCTGTTTCTTTGTTTGTACCATGAAGATAATATATCTTAAATTGTGAGCTAATAAAAGTTGTTTTGTTTTGTTTCCTACTGGCAACCTCCTACTTAGAACAAAAGGAGTATCAAATACAGTTTAGTGATGACTGCTGAAGTTCACTTCAAGTTTCTCTTTTCATTGTGATATCTAGATTAGCTAGGTTTAGTGTGTTCTGTTCCCTGAAAATTGATCACAGATAGGAGTATATGAGTTGCACTGTTGTAATCCCCACATTTGGGAGGCAGAGGCAGAAGGATCTTTGCAGTCTAAGACCAGCCGGGTCTACAAAGTGAGTTCAAAGCAAGCCTAAACTGCATAGGGATACCCTGTCTGAACACACACACACACACACACACACACACACACACACACACACCAATCACAATCACTACATCCACTAAAATCATTTTTGTATTTCTTTCTGTCGCATAACAATACCTCCTAATGCCTCCCAATATGACTTATCTTTTTCTGCACACTCCTACTTCCTCACAATTAGGGGCTGTAGACGCGGACTGTCTACAATCAGGGCACTCAGTTCCTGTCGGAAAGCAGTGCTCAGGATGGGTGTGTGACCTGAATTTGAATGACCTGACGTGATTGGCACAATTGGATAAAAATCTGAGTCATCATAAATGATACAGAACTTCAAAACAAGATAATAAGAAATCAACAATAGTTGTGATATTGTATATTGTTATCTTCAATATAGTTATTCAGAGTACCAGATATAAGCATGTGAAATTGGCCAAAAATTGTGTCATTCATGGTTTATTTTTTATTCTTTTAAAATAAAAAATAGAAAAACAAATTGAAAACAATTTACATCCTATAAAATGAGTCTTTAATTGTTTACTAGGATTATGATATTGAACTACTTTTTAGTGTACAATGGAGAATATAAAGAATAGTCATTTTCAAAGAAGATATCAGAGAAAATTAAGCAATAACGAGCTGACAATAAATGTCAACAAGACATACAATATCCTTGTCAGGTGAGGTCCATAGGTCAATTTTATGAGTATTGAGATTATTGATAAAAATTTTGCTATTTCATGAGATTTCTATAAATCCAAAAGCTTCCTTTTGTTTCAGAAAGTACATGGTTTCTAAAACACATAAGTTGCTTAAAGTTAATAATGGTATCATTCTTTTTATATCTGTTATGTAATTTCCCTTGATTTTTGGTGGAAGTTACTCTCCTCTATCTCAAATGGTTTAAGTGATATGCACTCCGAATAAAAGCCTGCTGTTTTTAGAGGTGACATTTCAGGATAAAAATTAATCTTTTATTTTTCATTTCCTTGTGTC